AAATTTAAAAGGTGGTATTTTTAAAGCGGTATTTTTTAAATTCTCCCAATATCATTCCTATTTTTATCATTAAAAATATTATTGTTTTATCAAAAAAAACTTAAAAGTACTAAAGAAAATTACTATCAAAATTGATTAATTGAACAATTAATCAACGAATAAATTCAAAAGATATGGATGTATGCTTCTATTGTATGATTTAAATAAATAACATGTAAAAATGTCATAAGCTTTAAAATTTATTTAATCTATTTTTTATAAGTAATAAATAAATTAAAATAATTAAATAAATATACAACAACCTGCGCATATGCGCGGGACATTACCTAGTATATAACAAAAGTATTGTTTGTTAGAAAAAGTGTTAGTAAATTCATAAGACAAAAAAAAAAAGCCATAGCAAAATTTGTAGTTGTAGGTTATGAAAATGTGTGAATATTTCAAATAAAGGATGTTACGATTATAATGCTACTAGATTTTGATGTCATCATATACTTTTACATAATATTCAAAATTTTATGATTATATACTTTAAAATGAATTTAATGGAAAAAAATTATTAGAGATAACTAAACTAATAGTACATGTGAGAGTTTTGAAATATCATACTAATATTTAGGGGGAAAAGCTTTCTCAAAAGAGATTTTTTATATGTGAGTTAAACAAATCATCTTCTAGAGATTTAATTTTCTAAAAATAGTTAAATATTTTTCCGAAGTATGTGATTAGAATCTGTTACCTACTAAGTAACCTAGTTTACCCCTGGATGATGAAATAAATATAAAGATAGGTAAGGTTTTTCTTCTTTCTCTAAACAAGTCCATTTTGTATCCGTATTAATTTTTTTTTGGAAAAACATTTAGTGTTCATATTCCTATTGAAAAAATGGTTCATTTGCTGATTTACCCATAAAAGATTTGATGGTAAAGAAACTACTTCAAAAAAAATTAATAAACATTAAAAATTAGTAGAAGTTGGTGGCTAATGGCTTATGAAGCTATCTTTATCCAAACAGATTTATAAGCACTATGAAAGGTTGGTGGTCGATATTGCCGTCTCCCAAATGTAGGTAGGTTTGTGTGGCACTCTCACCTGCTTTTGTTGGCCTCCGGTGTATGTATTTATTTTCGTACTCCAACACATATATCTATTTTCCAATGTATATATTTGATGTAGACCTAATAATACTATAGTGTGTGATACAAAAATGACAAGGTAAGTTTTTGTTGAAATTAGGTATGTGTTTATCTTTAAAAGCAAGAAGACAAACATGTGTATTCAAGTGGAGTTTGGTGGGTAAAGGAGACTGAAAACCAAAAAAAAAAGAATACAAGAAATTATATAATTTCTAAGGTAGAGGATATGGCCACACTTAGAGGATCTAGGGGCTCTCCTGCAACCTGGGAAAATATGTTGATTGAACCTTGTATTCACTACTACATACCTCACTGGAATGCTTACAATCCCAGAAACGACAGTTCCCACCTACTTATGATGAGTCAGTAGGTGTTCAATCATTTTCTTGTTTCTTGATCTTGTTACGTACCTTTCATTAGTTAGAGTCTTGTTTAAGACAATAATGGTTCATTTTCAAGGAAACCTTAAAGCTCTCGTACAGTTTTTTTTTTTTTTGAATCTAATGTTAAATTATATTCAAAATAAAAATAACGTTTTTACAACAAATGCAACTTTTTCTTAAACGTTAAAGCCGAAAAACAAGTTTAAAGAAAAAATGTTAAATACGAGATTGGAGCCACCGTTGGAAACCTTCGGTGTAGCGTCTATCTCCAACTTTGCCGATCATGGAGAGCTGATTTTTCACTTGTTTATCGACCCAGTCCGTGAGGCAAGCAGCTGAGTTTGGAGGCTCCCCATGGCGTCTTCCATTTCGTTCTTTTCACACAGTATAAATAACAGCTTGGAAAACATACCGGAGATAGACGCACAGCTCTCGTAGAGTTTTACATTATGAGTCGTGTCTAAAAGAACACTGTAATATGTCTTTATAATCATTTCACTTCTTCCTATGCATTACTTGTTGATTTGCCAAGCTTGTGACCTTGTGCACGGTAACAATCGCAAAGAGATCATGCATGATCCTTTAATCGTATTGATAAGAGCACATTAGTCAACTCAAGTTGTATATATGTCGAGTATTTGATGACAATGTAATGTTCATGTTATCAAATCATTTTAAACTAGTGAAGAAGGGAAACAAAAGAGAACAACAAAGAAGACCTTTCCCCATTTGAAAACAATGATTCACTTTTGTTATTCAACACTTGAAAAACATCAAACAAGTCGTCTCATCCGAAAATTCTAGCATTATTCTTCAATATGTGCCAGCTTTAATTAGATTTATAGTCGTATTTAGAAAACTTTATTTATTTCGATTACAAAAACATTTCTAAAGATAATTATACAAAATTCCGAAATTTGTGTGTAGTGATGCGTCATTTCAGTGTTTAATTAGGAGTAGTGGAAAAGTAAACAATGGTGTCTTTTTAACACCTTGACGCCCGTCAAAAAAAGTTTCTTCCATTATAAGTGAAACGGCACGACGTTTATTCAAGATTCTCCAACCGTATAAATTATGAAAACGACACTACGTTGTCTCATTCTTTCGTATATTCCTCTTCTTGGTTAAGTTTTTGATAGTGGGAAGTTAAATCGACGCCTTCTCGTTCGTTTTCACCACGATGGAAACACAGAGAGCAAAGAAGATGATCAAGATCTCCGATGATCTCATACCAAACTCCGTTCAGATTCTGTCTGATCTCACCCCGGAGATACTCAAAGAGTTACCTGTTAAAACCCTAGCTAGGTTCATGTGCGTATCCAAAGAGTACGGTTCCATCATTCGCAACCGAGACTTCATGAAATCATACTTGCGCAAGTCTTCGTCTCGTCCTCAAAGTCTCATCTTCACAATGGAAGGTAGGGAATCAGGGAAGCATTTCTTCTTCTCATTGCTTCAGTCCCAAGATCAAGGTGAATCATCATCTCCTGTTGTAACTTATCTTATGAACTGTCGTGCTCTACCGTACACAACCATTGCTCCCTCTGTTCACGGTTTGGTTTGCCATGGACTTCCTTCTGGACTTATTGTGTCTAACCCTAGCACTAGACGGTCCATTACTCTGCCCAAGATTGATACTCGGAGTATATTTATGTACCACCACTTGGGTTATGATCCTATTAGTGGTGATTACAAAGTGTTGTGTATGATGAAAGGCAAGCATGTTGGCAGGGGACGCTACTTGGCTCATGAGCTTCGGGTCTTGACTTTGGGAAAGGGGAACCCTTGGAGGATGGTTGAAGACTTTCCTCCTCACTGTCTTTGTACTCATGCAACTCCTGACCTATGTATCAATGGTGTTCTGTATTATGTAGCTTTGGTAGACACAGCTGTGAGCCATGCGGTCATGAGTTTTGATGTTAGAACTGAAAAGTTTCATCTCATAGAAGGACCAGACCTTTGTGTGCGTCCTAAGATGACCCGCTACGAGGGAAAGCCTGCCCTCTTGTTCGCTGGGATAGCTGATTGCAGAGTTAACCTGTGGGTTCTGGAGGATGCTGCAAAACATGAATGGTCCAAGATATCTTATGTTTCGACTACAGTTGCTTGCGATGCTCACTTCTTCCACCATATCTTTTGTGCTAATGATGCTGGGGAGATTGTTATGGCACCCGAGTCCGTGTGTTCATCAAAACCATTTGAAGTTCTTTACTATCATCCAAAGAAAAAGACAATGAGAAGTGTCCTCGTGGAAAGAATCAGTGAACTAAAGGTTCCACTTTGGGACATGGATCCATGTCATAACATAATCTCTGTCTTCTCTGGTCAGCTTGACAACCTAATGTTCCTCTAAGGATGCTCTCATGACCTCCACTGAAATTTTTGATTCTTCGGCTTTAATTATTTATATTTCATTTACTTATTTTGAAGGATTTGATGAACGTTTGTTTACTTCTTTTTTTGGTGACAGTTTGTTTATGTCGTTATGTTTTGAACTTGGGTATCAATACGCTCTTTATCCAACTAAAAATTCTGTTTTTGTTGAATAAACTTAGATTCTTTTTTCTCTTTTTTTTTTTCCTAACCAACCGGTGAAAAATAGTAGCATCCAGAGTATTAGTTTTTCAATACTTTTACAAAATTATCCAAATCAAACATGTAACGTGGGACTGTGTGGGAGAGAACCTTAATTTGTTGTCAAACAAGAAAAAAAAAGTGACAAATGCGCAAATAGAACTCACATTGTTTCTCAATCATCAACTTAAGGGACTTTGCGTTATCTTATATGATCCCCACGGAAAGGACTCTCAGGGTTTTTTTTTTTTTGTTAGTTTCCAATCGTTCCCAAAAAATGGAAATTTCTAATTAAGTCTCACATTGAATCTCACTAGATAACTGTTTTAAATCAATTAAAAATCTTATGAAAACCACGAAATCATCAGATTTTTTAAATCTCCTCAATTCTAAAATCTACCAAATACCCCCTCAGACGACTAAATTACCTGACTTATTAATTAAACTAATATGGTTTCTCTTGGGATATATACGTATTGTTGTGTGTGAGTAAAGGAAATGATCGTTTAGCTCAAGAGCTTATGGTGTTTTGACATTGGAAGCTCTCGATATACTACAAGATCTTCTAGTTGTCATGATACAGATGCAAGTGAGTTTATTTTGATACCATAAAGAACTTTTAGTCAACCATCATCTTGATCTCAATAAAAAAAATTTGATTTATTTCCCTCTAATTGAGATTATAGATTTGGAAGGATATACTTAGAAAAGCATGTGAAAATTCATTTCCTTATTGGAAACGTTTGCCGTTTTAGTCCTCATGAGCCATCACTCTTTTCTTGATTAAAAACAAAAAACAGCAAGATGTTTAACAAATCAAATGGGGTTTTCATAAAAAGGCGGCCACGTACACCGTTATCTTTTTTCTTTGGTTTCCTCTCCACCTGACTCAAAGAACGAGGGAGCGATGGAATCAGCATCTTCGTCCTCATCTCGGATTAAGAGACGTAAGATTTCAGATGGAACCAAGCTTCCGATGGATCTGATCATGGAGATACTCAAACGCTTACCGGCGGAAACCCTAGCAAACTTGTGCGAATCGAAGCCCTTGGCATCAATCATACGCAATCGTCACTTCAAGAAACTGTTCTTCACCGAGTGTTCTTCTCGACCAGGTCGTCTCTTCTTCTTCATCAAACATGAAGATGGTTCTGAATTATTCTCATCGCGGCTTCCAACCCGAAGCCCCGCAAGTGGAGAAGGAGAAGCCTTATATGTAGCTACTCACCATATTACATTTGGAGGCATAACCAAATTTTCCTGCCTTCACGGTTTGTTTTCCTATGAGTCTTATCGCTTTGGTCGTTCTAAGATTACGGTATACAATTCCAGCACCCGTGTATCCACCCCGTTGCCTGATTTCGATGGACCAAGACACATCTTCCAACACATGCTGGGCTATGATCCCGTCGATGGTGTTTACAAAGTCTTGTGTATGGATTCAAGGTATCCTTGCGATATGCTGCGAAAAAAACCTAGGAATTTTTTTGAGGTTCTGACATTGGGAGATGATCATTCCAGCTGGAAGATGATTCAAGATGGTCCTACTCATACGCCTTACGTCAAGACCCACATATGCATAAATGGTGTTTTATATTATGATGCTTATGTATTTGAATCAAAGGAAACTGGAGTTATTAGTTTTGATCTTAGGTCTGAACAATTCCGTCTTATCAGCGGACCTCCTTGTGAAGGTCTGTTTGTGAAGAAAATGGCAAGGTATGAGGGAAAGCTAGCTATCATCTCTATTTTAATGTCTGAAGATAATGGTAATATTGTTCTGTGGGTTCTTGAGGATGCAGTGAAACATGAATGGGTTAAGAAGGTTTTTGTTTTCCCTAGTTTGTGGAAAAGTTTACTTCAGTGTAATCTTCATTTCCTTAACATCACTCATGCGGGCGAGTTTATTTTGACAGCGCGTTATTTTCTCACTCAACAATGTTATGTTCTGTGTTGTGATCCGAAAACACAACGCGTGAGAAAATTCGTGATTGAAGGAATCCCAAAGGATAATTTACAAGCCAGTGAACTAACTTTTTGTCCTCTACATCATATCTTCTCTACTCAGGTTGAGAGTCTTATGTTTCTGTAAGAACTAAGCTGATGGCCTGCTCGTCATCTTCAATATCAGTTAGGTTTCCCTGATCATGCTCATCTCTTTGTTCAAATTATGTAACATTATCCTGTGTTTTGTTATTTCGTTACTGTTACCTGGGAGGTCTCATCTTTATCATCGACAGTTTGCTTATCTTTTGTTTGTTTATTTCTGGATTTGTACTCTATTAAATTCTCCCATTTGTCTGAATTTGTATGTTTTATCTTTGGTTTATATATTTATGATTTATGATTTTGTTGTTTAACAGTGATTATGAAACTAGTCTACATCCTCGGTAAAGACTAGATAGTAGTTGTTAAGTCTAGAGTCCAAGTATTTAAGTTGTAGCAAGTAGTATAAGTATATTTATATATATGTACATATATACTTGGATTAAGAATTTCGTGTAGCGGTACTCATTTGAGTATTATCAAACGAGTACCACATGTGTGAATTAAGAATTCATCTAAGTGATCGAAAATGACTATGTTTGTCTTCAAGTTTATCTCTCTAATGTTCTAAACGTTTTGTGTGAAAAGAGTAGACACAACACAGAGAACTAGTGAAAAATGACACCTTGTTTATTTTTTATTTTTTTTGAATGCAATGTTAAATTATATTCAAAAAAAAAATAAACGTTTTTACATCAAGTGCATCGTTTTTGGACTAAGAAATCATAAAGAGATATTTAAAAAAAAAAAAAAAAACTAAAACAACTTAGGATCTAGATTGAAGCCACAATTGGAAAGCCGATGCGTACCGATGATCCCCCATTTTTCGAATTGAAGAAAGCTGATCCCCCATTTTCCGAATTGAATGACACCTTGTTTAATCTTATTCCGACTGTTTAATGTAAAATTAAAAATAGGTTCGCGCGATAGATTTAAATCAAAATTATGTATTAGTTGTTTAGAAATTGTGTTATACGTACTTGTTAACTGTTTTTGTTTTTTTCAATAGAAAAGTATCACCAAACATTTAAAATGAACTAATAATTAAACTAGAATAATTTCTTAAACTCATCAAATCCGTTACAAATTTTATAGTCAACAAACTGTTAGAAAACCATCAACGTACCCTTTTTCATTTCTATTAAAACTAGATATCAAATCTTCTAGGTATAGTTATTAAAGATAGAGTTTATGCTAATGGAACTATGGTTTTGTGGGTTCTAGAGGATGCAGTGAAACATGAATGGGCGAAGAAGATCTGTTGCAGTTAGCTACTTCAGTTGTCTCATATACAGTTTGTTTATGTTAATGATATCTACATTTAAACTTTTGTAGCTACTGTAGTTTTTTATTCTTGATTTGTAATATATATCATTTCCAATTTGGCCGTTCGGCTTAAGAGCCTCACCTTCACATAACGTTTAGTGGTGCATGTTTTGAGTTACGGTTGCAACACATTTTGAGCACTAGTATGTTGAACTAGGGACACATGATTCAGTTTTGAACTCGGTTTTCGAGTTTTTTTTTTGTAATAAGTACACATGAGCCAGATACACCACCGATTGGAATCAGCTTCTTCAATATGTTTCGTCAAACCAGCCAAATAAGGTGGAAAGCTTCCTCACACGTTATATCTTCCAAGCTTCTGTTTACACTCTTTGGAGGGAGAGAAATGCCCGTCGTCATGGGAACTCTCAGCACACGTCTTCGCAACTGATTAAGTGGGCTGGACCAACAGGTTCGCGACCAATGCTCCATGATCCGGAGAATGGGAAACAACCGATACGACGCCAGTTTCCAAACTTGGCTTTATTAATCCACCATTTTTAAGATCCATGGCAAACCTCAGACCATTAATATCCCATAATATAATTGCTTAATTTCTTGGCCATACTAGAGATTGCAGTCTTTTCATTGTAAAACTGCCGGAAACTACAATTGGTACACAAAGATGACCAGAGATGGTACAAGGGAAACATGGCCAGAGATGGTCAGGTTCCTAACCCTTTGACATCTCTAGTGAAGAAAAAAGAGACAAGGAAAGGCTTTTTGATGGTTTCCATCTTTTGGTCTGAAATTCTCTCTGAAGCTGTTCACCCTTTGCTTCGTCGTCTGAATCTATATATGTTTTCATGGACTACTTAAAACAAAACAAATAAACAAAAAATAAAAAAAAGCTACAAGGGAAACTTTTTTAGTATGTTGTCTATTATGATCCCAAGAAAAATTCTGTGAGACGAGTCTTTTTTTGGAAAACTAATTCGCAGTCTCTTAATTTCTTATCTAATTGAGATATTTGATTTAGAAGGATATACTTAGAAAAGCATGAGAAAATACATTACCTTGTTATCGGATGTTTTACAAATCAAATGGGGTTTTCGTACACCAAGTCACCAATACACACCATTATCTTTTTTTTTTTTGCTTTGTTTTCCTCTCCACTGGAGCAAACAATGAGCGATTCAACCAAGGAGGCAGTGATGGAATCATCATCGTCGTCCTCATCTCGGATTAAGAGTCGGAAGATTTCAGATGGCACCAAGCTTCCGATGGATCTGATCATGGAGATACTCAAACGCTTACAGGCGGAAACCCTAGTGAACTTGTGCGAATCGAAGCCCTTGGCATCAATCATACGCGACCGTCATTTCAAGAAACTGTTCCTCACCCACTCTTCTTCTCGACCAGGTCGTCTCTTCTTCTTCAAACCTGAAGATGATTGTTTATTATTCTCCGCGCGGCTTCCATCCCAAAAGCCCTCAGTTGAAGAAGAAGCCTTATCTGTAGCTACCTACCATAGGTTACATCATTCACTTGGAGGCAAAATCAACCTATCCTGCCTTCACTGTTTGATTTGCTATAACTATTATCAGTTTTCTCGTTCTGGACTTAAGGTATACAATTCCAGCACCCGTGGATCCACCACATTGCCTGCTTTCGATGAACCAAGACACATTTTCAAGCACATGTTGGGTTATGATCCCGTCGATGGTGTTTACAAAGTCTTGTGTATGAACTCAAGGGTTGCTCTGGAAATGCCCCGACTAGAACCTGAGCGTTTCTTTGAGGTTTTGACATTGGGAGATGATCTTCCCAGCTGATTCAAGACAGTCCTCCTTATACGCCTTTCAACAGCCACATATGCATAAATGGTGTTTTGTATTACGATGTAGTTGACACAGGTCTAGAGAAGGAAGTTTCAGTCATGAGTTTTGATCTTAGGTCTGAACAATTTGGTCTTATAATCAAAGGACCTTGTGATTGTTCGCTTGAGACGAAAACAACCTCGATGGCAAGGTATGAGGGAAAGCTAGCTATCATCTCTATTGAAATTTCTGCTGCTAAAGGTGATATGGTTCTGTGGGTTCTTGAGGATGCAGTGACACATGAGTGGGTTAAGAAGGTTTTTGTTTACCCTAGTTTGTGGAATAGTTTATTTCAGTGTAGTCTTAATTTCCTTAACATCACTTATGCGGGCGAGTTCGTTTTGGCACCTCGTTATTTGCTCATTCCACCATCTTATGTTTTGTGTTATGATTCGAAAACACAGCGCGTGAGAAAAGTCGTGATTGCAGGACTCCCAAAGGATAATTCTCGAGGCTGTGAACAAACTTTTTGTTCTCTATATCATCACTTCTATTCTCAGACTGAGAGTCTTATGTTTCTGTAACAATCAAGCTGATGGCCTGGTCTACATCATCTTCAGTGCCAGTTAGGTTTCCCTGATCATGCTCATCTCTTTGTTGAAATGTATCATTATCCCGTCTTTTGTTATTTCGTTACTGTTACTTGGGAGGTCTCATCATGATCCTCATCTTTATTATCGACAGTTTGTTTCTCTTTTGTTTGTTTATTTCTGAATTTGTACCCTAAAAAATTCTCCCATTTGTCTGTTTTATAATTTGTTTATTTATGATTTTCTTGTTTAACATTGATTATTAAACTAGTCTAATTAAGGATCTAGAGGTAAGGATTAGTAGTAGTTAAATCTAGAGTCCAAGTAATTGAGTTGTTGCAAGTAGTATAAGCATGCATATGTACATATTATACATGGATTAAGAATTTTAACTCAGTTGACACTTAATATATATGGTAGTATGGTTTTGTGGGTTCTATAGAATGCAGTGAAAACATGAATGGGCGAAGAAGATATTTGTTTTTGATAGAATATCAGTGCCATGCTTGTATCCTCCTGCAGCAAAGAGATCATGGTTCTTTGATATATTGATAAGAGCACATTAGACAACTTTAATTAGTACTATGCCGAGTACTTGATGACAACTAGTTAACTACATGAAACTACATACAGTGATTACTTTGTGATTCAACCCCTAAAACTTCTACAACTCTTTTTATATAGTGAAATAATACTGACATTCAAAAGAGAAGTTGGGGAAATGTATATATAGAGAAAAATGAAATTAAGAAGCTTAGGAGTTAATGAAATTAGAGGCTAACCCAACCGAAAAATTGTAATGTTCATTTTGTCGAATTTTTAAATGAGTAAAGAAGGGTATCAAGGAAAAAAAAAGAAGAAGAGACATTTCCCCATTAGAAAACGATGATTTACTTTTGTGATTCAACACTTGAAAACAGTAAACAAATCTCATCCAAAAATTCTAGCATTATTTGTTCAATATAGGCCAGCTTGAGAATATATAGTTGTATTTAAAAACTTCATTTATTTCAATTACAAAACATTTTTACAACAAAATTAAACAAAATGCTGAAATTAGTGTGTAATGATGCGTCATTAAAGTGTTTAGTAGTGGAAACATGCATGTGTCTTTTTAACTCCTTGACACCCGTCAAAAAAGCTTCTTCCATTATAATTGAAACGGCACGACGTTTACTCATATCCCCCCAACCGTATAAAACAACACCACGTTTTCTCATCCTTCATACGTTATTCTCTTCTCGGTTAAGTCTTTTTTTTTTTGTGAGTGAGAAGTTAAATCGACGCCTTCTCGTTCGTTTTCACCGCCATGGAAATACAGAGAGCAAAAAAGAAAATCAAGATCTCCGATGATCTCATAACATGCAGACCAATCTCAGTTCAGATTCCATCTGATCTCATCCCAGAGTTACTTAAAGAGTTACCTGTTAAAACCCTAGCTAGGTTCATGTCCGTTTCGAAAGACTTCGGTTCCATCATTCGCAACCGAGACTTCATGAAGTTGTACTTACGCAAGTCTTCGTCTCGTCCGCAAAGTCTCATCTTCACAATCGAAGGCAAGGAATCAGGGAAGCATTTCTTCTTCTCCTTGCTTCAGTCCCAAGATCAAGGTGAATCATCATCTCCTGTTGTAACTTATCTTATGAATTGTCGTGCTCTACCGTACACAACCATTGCTCCCTCTGTTCACGGTTTGGTTTGCCATGGACTTCCTTCTGGACTTATTGTGTCTAACCCTAGCACTAGACGGTCCATTACTCTGCCCAAGATTGATACTCGGAGTATATCTATGTACCACCACTTGGGTTATGATCCTATCAGTGGTGATTACAAAGTGTTGTGTATGGTGAAAGGCAAGCATGGTGGTTGGGGACGCCACTTGGCTAATGAGCTTCGGGTCTTGACTTTGGGAAAGGGGAATTTTTGGAGGATGGTTGAAGACTTCCCTCCTCACTGTCTTTGTACTCATGAGACTCCTGATATATGTATCAACGGTGTTTTGTATTATGTAGCTTTGCTAGATACAGCGGTGAGTCATGCGGTTATGAGTTTTGATGTTAGAACTGAAAAGTTTCATCTCATAGAAGGACCAGACCCTAATGTGCGTCCGAAGGTGACCCGCTACGAGGGAAAGCCTGCACTCTTGTTTGCTGGGATAGCTGATTGTAGACTTAACTTGTGGGTTCTGGAGGATGCTGCAAAACATGAATGGTCCAAGATGTCTTATGTTTCGACTACAGTTGCTTGCGATGCTCACTTCTTCCACCATATCTTTTGTGCTAATGATGCAGGGGAGATTGTTATGGCACCTGAGTCCGTGTGTTCATCAAAACCATTTGAAGTTCTTTACTATCATCCAAGGAAAAAGACTATGAGAAGTGTCCTCGTGGAAGGGTTCAGTGAACGTAAGGTTCCATTTTGGGATAAGGATCCATGTCATAACATAATCTCTGTCTTCTCTGGTCAGCTTGATAATTTAATGTTTCTCTAGCTAAAAATGCCCTCATGACCTCCTCTGTAATGTTTGGTTCTTCAGCTTAAGTTGTGTTTCATCTGGTCAGCTTGATGATCTTTTGTCTTCTCTTTTTTCCTTGTGACGGTCAGTTTATGTTTCATAGTTTTGGAATGTATGTAATATGTAGCCATTATGTTTTGAACTTGGGCATCAATATGCTCTTCTGATATAAAATACCTTTTGCATATATATATAACTATTAGTGTTGAGCTTTTAATAGTTTTCAAGGTTAAACATGTAACAGATCTGTAAATTTACCAAACTATCTCAATCTCAAGTGGAGGTGATGGTTTGGAGAAGAAGACTTGTAGAGGGTGTTTGGTGACATGTTAAGTTAGTATGTAGTTTCTACTCGTTCGCCAAAATAAGATGATAATGAACAAGTTACTCTAATAACTTCTTAACTCTAACATTAAATCTCACTAGATAACCATATTAATTTATTTTAAAAGACTTATAAATACCAGGGAATCATCAAGTTTCTTTTTAAATCTCCTAATATCTAAGATCTATCAAATATCCAAAAAAATTACTAATTCACCGGATCGAAGGATTTGACAAATCTCACGACTAAATTCACATAAGATATGCGACTCAAATTAACTAAGATGGTTTTTCTTTGGATAGATACGTACCATTACTTGTGTGTGAGTAAAGGAAGTGATCCCATTAATTGATATGGTGATTACATACTCTTGTGGGTGGGTGAGTAAAGGAAATGATCGCTTAGCTCAGGAGTTTCTGGTTTTGACATTAGGGAATTGGGAAAAAGTGGAGACCAAATTAAAGGTTGCCCTCCTCACTCTCCTGAGAGATGCATCGACGGTGTGTTATATATACTACAAAGCTTTCTCAACCCATATCAAGCAGTGATGAGTTTTGATGTTAGGTCTGAAAAAATTCATCTTATTTTTGTCCACACTTTAGTACTAGTCTAAGAAATTACTTTGTTTACCTCAATCTCTTTTAACAATCTTATTTACTTTATCATCACATTTTCTTTAGTTCCCCACAACTTGATATATTCGTAGACCATGTATATCTATTTCAATGGATCATTCTGTTATGATGTTCATACAACTTTAATGTTATATTTCGAATCATCAAACTGCTTTGTCCATCATCGTTTTCTTCACTACTTAAAATTAATCTGGAGCATTTTTTACAACATCACTAATTAACAACAATATTTCACAATTTATACAATTAATATTCACCATGGATAAGAAGTCATATACTGAAGGAAGATAGACAACACCGTGGAAAACAAGGACAATACCATGGAAAAAAAAAATGAAAGAAGATAGACAACACATATGACATGTTTATTGATGAGGTCTGGATATATAATTATTTTTGCCTTTCTTATTCGGCTTAGAAACAAAAAAAATGGTAGATGGAGAAAGACTTTGAAAAAGATGGTATTTTATAAAACCAAAAGTTGGTTTGATGGTATAATTGGAAAATTTCCCATTTTTAATTCTATAAAGTTAAATGGATAGATAAAAATGATACTTTCGAAAGTAGATACAAAAAGGTATTTTCATATAAGTATTTTTATGTTGTTGGTATTTATTGTTTGATATATATATATATATATATATCACAATTTTCTTATTTTGTGTCTTATCTTGTGTTTTTGTAACTTGGTTATTTTTAGTGTTTTCTTTTTATTTATTTTTTTAGAATAAAATTTTCTCTCTTCAGTAATTATTTAGGAACAAGATAAGTCTACCTATTTCCCAAAATTTTCTTTTTGTCCATCCTTTAATCTCACAAAAGTAACATAATATTTACCTTTGTAACCTAATATTTTTATTTTTTAAGATACATAAGTATAATATGCATTTAAAGGTTTTAAAGATAAATTTATTTTTAAGAAAATATTAATATTATGTTTCTTATTGGGGTTAGAAAAATGTTTAATTATGTCTATGTTTTAAGATATCTCCTAAATAATAATTGTTAATCTAGTAATTTTTGTAGGAAATTTAAAATAATCACTTTAAGCTATTTAAAGATAAAAAAGAAAGAAAGTCTATAAGAGTAACATTTAGTCATTTACTTAGAATCATATATACATACATATATATATATATATAATAGTTATAAACATATACATTGTGCTAAATTAGTTTTCAATATCTCATCAAACCTGTCCATATAATTTGGTTGATTTCAAGATGGATGCTGGCTTCGATATAGACGGTGATATGATCATTTCAAAGACGCTAACACGTACTGATGTTGACAAACATGGACGTATGCATCTACCCAAAAGTCAAGTGCTCTCCGTCTTAACAAAGATGAAAGATGTTACAGAGGAGAGTCTGCTAAATGGTATCGAACTCGAAGTTCTAGACACTATTAACAACCATTCATACTCTGTCATCCTAAAATCCAGGAACATCTCCAAGGAATTTGTTTTAGGAACGGGTTGGAGCACCTTGAAGTATTCGCTAGAGCTCAAAGAAGGTGACAATCTCAAACTATATTGGGATTACTTGAACTACAAGTTCATTATTCTCAATTTTGAATACAGCCTAATCCCCTTTTAAAGGATGATGTGATGGAGATTGGAGCCTATATGTTCGCTCACAACTTCGTTTCTGTTTTTTTCTTTATTTTATGTTTTGTTAATTCTGTTTTCGATTTTATATTTACATAATAATCATCTTCAGATGTAATCATTCTTGAAAAGTTGATTAATTAAATGGATGTGAAGACATGATATTGAATAAAGAGATATGATCGTGATGGAAAAATAATTAAGAATGATTGGTGTATGAATCACTTAACAATAGTTTCACTAAACTTTATGCAAAAGAATGATCAGTAGCAACTCCAACTTACATATATATGAATTGTTTTTCTCAGACGTGTTAAACGGTTTCTCCCTCTATTCATGGTTTTCTTTGCCATGGATCTCCTTATAAACTCAAGATATATAACCCTATAGCATTAAACGACGATATGTGACTTTACCTAAGATGGTATTGTAAGAGAGGACATAATTGTAATTAGATAGACCCTAATCATTTGTGTGAAACAGTGAAACACTATATATACATTGTACAAATGCTCTTTGTAATGTAAGAAAGCATTCTTCCATATATGGTATCAGAGCTAAACCTAAAAAAAAAAAAAAGAAAAAAAAAATGTTTTGGCCGCCGCTTCCTTCTTCTTCCGTGGTCTTCTTCTGTTGGGATAGAAACGTACTATTACTTAGGTTATGATCCCATTGATGGTGATTACAATTTACAAACTGTTGTGTATGACTAAAGGAAAGGATCATTTAGCTCAAGAGGTTCATGTTATGACATAATTGGGAACTGGGAATAGGTGGGGAAAGATTAAAGATTGTCCTCCTCACTCTCCTGAATCTCCTGTTAGATGCATCAATGCACGAATAATAAACAACGAGCTTAGTCCTCATGAACACCACAAAGAAATTTTAGTCAACCATCATTTTGATCCCAAGAAAAATATTAGATTTATTTCCTATCTAATTGAGATATTATATTTGGAAGGATATATTTAGAAAAGCATGAGAAAAATCATTTCCTTGTTATTGGAAAAGTTTGCCGTTTTAGTCCCCGTGACCCATCACTCTTTCCTTAATTAAAAATAAAAAACGGCAAAGGGATTTTGGTAAAAAGGCGGCCAACATTATCCTTTTTGCTTTGTGTTCCTCTCCACCAGAGCGAGCGAATTGGGTTGCAATGAGTGACTCAACCAACGACGCAGTGGTGGAATCAGCATCGTCGTCCTCATCTCGGAATAAGAAGATTTCATATGGCACGAACATCAAGCTTCCGATGGATCTGATCATGAAAATCTTCAAACGAGTACCAGCGGAAATCCTAGCGAGCTTGTGCGTATCGAAGCCATTGGCTTCAATCATACGCGACCGAGATTTCAAGAAACTGTTCCTCGCCGAGTCTTCTACTCGACCAGGCCGTCTCTTCTTCTCCTTCAAACATAAAATGGTTGTTTATTACTCTCTTCGCCGCTACCAACCCAAACCCCCTTAGGTGAAGTATCTGTAGCTACTTACCATAGGTTACATCCTTCACTTCGACGCAAAAACAATTCTTCCTGGCTTCACAGTTTGATTTGCTATGAGTCTTATCGGTTTGGTCGTTCTACACTTATGGTATACAATTCCAGCACTCGTAGCTCCACCACATTGCCTGATTTCGATAAGCCAAAAGACATCTTTAAGCACATGTTGGGCTATGATCCCGTCGATGGTGTTTACAAAGTCTTGTGTATGAAATCAAGGAATGCTTTCGGAATGCCTCCAGAAGTACCTAAACGTTTTTTTGAGGTTTTGACATTGGGAGATGATGATTCCAGCTGGAGGATGATACAAGATAGTCCTCCTTGTATGCCTTTCAACAGCCACATATGCATCGATGGCGTTTTGTATTACGATGCTTATATCGTTGACCAAGGTCTGGAGAAGGAAGCTGCAGTTATGAGTTTTGATCTTAGGTCTGAACAATTTGGTCTCATCAAAGGACCTTGTGACTGTCTGCTCGTGAAGAAAACAACCTTGTTGGCAAGGTATGAGGGGAAGCTAGCTATCATCTCCATTGAAATTTCTGCTAATGGAGATATGGTTCTGTGGGTTCTTGAGGATGCAGTGAAACATAAATGGGCTAAGAAGGTTTTTGTTTTCCCTAGTTTGTGGAAAAGTTTACTTCAGTGCAGACTTAATTCTCATCGTTTCCTTAACATCACTGATGCGGGTGAGTTTATTTTGGTACCGCGTTTTTCGCTCACTCCACCGTCTTATGTTATGTGTTATGATTCGAAAACACAGCGAGTGAGAAAAGTCGTGATTGAAGGGCTCCCTGAGCATAATTTGCGAGGCAGGAATCAAGCTTTTTGTTCTCTATATTATCTCTTCTATACTCAGGCTGAGAGTCTTATGTTTCTGTAAGAATCAAGCTGATGGCCTTGTCGACATCTTCAATTCCTGTTAGGGTTCCCTGATCATGCTCATCTTGTTGTTGAAATGTGATATTATTTTGTCTTTTGTTGTTTCGTTATTGTTACTTGGGAGGTCTCATCATGATCCTCGTGTTTATTTATCGTTAGTTTATCTTGAATTCTTGATCATAAGAAGTTTGATCTTTTGTTTATTTCTGAATTTTTACTGATCTATACAATTCTCCCATTTGTCTGAATTTGTATGTTTTGTATCGACGTTTTATCTTTCTTTTATTGACATCTATCGACGTTTTATCTTTTGTTTATTTTATCTTTTGTTGTTTAACGTTGATTTGTAAAAATGAATCTCAATCTTTACTTGCATATCACAAAATATCAGAAGATTTTTAAAGCTATTTTTCCAATCTACCATCTTTTCCAAAAATGTTTTTAAAAATACCATTTTCAAATGGTTGATGAGGTCTGAATTTATATTTATTTTAATCAAAACCTAGAGGACAATATAAATGGTGTTACAAAATAATCACGTCCACCATGTTCAAACCGCTGTCTACAGACTGTAACTAAAAACTTTTTAAAATCTTTTTCGCCAACCATCGCTACGAAACTCTGTTTGTCATTTTTTGTGTCCAAATGACGAACTCCCTAATTTTTGAAAAATTTCTAATCTCCATTTGTATATTAAACAAACTCCTAATTTACATTATCAAGTCTATTTTTCACCATTAATGCCATCGTAGTTCCTTTTCTAATCTCATTAATTACAGACGATTTACAGCCACTGCACTATACCTATTCCTACTCCCACCTATTACACTCAAGGGTATTTTTGTCATTCTTGCTTTACCGGAAGCGAAAATGGTAGATGGGGAAAGAATTTGGAAAAGATGATACGTTATAAAATTAAAAATTGATCTGATAGTAGAATTGGAAAAATTCCCATTTTTAATTGCGTAATGTTTTGGATAAATAAAATTGACATATCTCAAAACCAGATATATAAAAAAAAAAAAAATCATATTTTTATGTTGTTGGTATTTATTGTTTGATATATATATTGCAATTTTCTTATTTTGAGTATGATCTTGTGTTTTTGTAACTTGTACATTATTTATTTTGTGTCCATCCTTTAATATCATAAATGTAACAAAACATTTTACCTTCTTAACCTAAAATTTTATTTATAAGATACATAAATATTATATGTATTTACAGGTTTAAAAGATAAATTTGATCCCTACATAAATATTGTATGCCTTTAAAGGTTTAAAAGATATATCTAATCCCCTGCCAATTAATTTATTTTAAAGAAAATATAAATATTATGTGTCTTATTGGGGTTAGAACTATATTTAATTATGTCAATGGCAAAGGAAATCTCCTAAATAATATTAAACTAGTAAAATTTGCAGGAAATTAAAATTTATCACATTAGGCTATTTAAAGGATAGAAAGAAAGAATGTCTAAGAGAGTAACATTTACTTAGAACTATATATATTAGTTATAAACATATGCATTGTGCTAAATCAGCTATCAATATCTCTTCAAACTTGTCCATATAATTTTGTTGATTTCAAGATGGAAGGCTTGAGATTAGACGGTGATATGATCATATCAAAAACTCTATCACGTACTGATGTTGACAAACATGGACGTCTGCATCTACCTAAAAGCCAAGTGCTCTCCGTCTTAAGAAAGATGACTTATGCTACAGAGGAGCGTTTGCTAAATGGTATTGAACTTGAAGTTCTAGACATTATGAAAAACCATTCATACTCTGTGATCCTAAAATCCAGGAACCCCTCCAAAGACTATGTTTTGGGAACGGGTTGGAGCGCGTTGAAGTATTCACTAGAGCTCAAAGAAGGTGACAATCTCAAATTATATTGGGATCACTTGAACTGCAAGTTCATTATTCTTAATTGCGAATATAGCCTAATCCCCTTTTAAAGGATGATGTGATGGAGATTGGAGCCTATATGTTCGCTCGGAACCTCATTTCTGTTTTTATTTTATTTTATGTTTTGTTAATTCTGTTTTCGATTTTATATTTACATAATAACCATCTTCAGATGTAATCATTTTTTGAAAAGTCGATTATCTAAATAGATATCAAGATTTGAGAATGAATAAAAGATATGATCGTTATGGAAAAGTAAGAATGAATGGTGTATGAATCACTTAACACATATTCGAGATCGACTATCTTCTATTCGGAGGGCGGGAGACCGACGTTACGACGAGGGCCTTCAAGCATGGTTCCGGTCTCGCCATTGATGAAATTTTTGGTCTGATGATTTTTTTGGTCTCTTAGAATCATTTCAAATTTTTATTCAAAGTTTTAAGTTCAAAAACATGATGCACTCGTTGTACAAACGTATATTTTTCTTTTGAATATAATTTAACATTAAATTCAAAAAAAAATGAATCACTTAACAATCGTTTCACGAAACTTTATGCAAAAGATTTTCAAGAAGAAAACAAAAGATACTCTCTAAACGTTAATCTTAAAATTATCTGTAGCAACTTATATTCCTATATGAATTGTTATTCTCAGCCGTGTTAAACAGTTTCTCCCTCTGTTCGTGGTTTGCTTTGCCATGGATCTCCTTATAAACTCAAGATATATAACCCTATAGGACTTTCTAGAAATCTTTCGTTTTGCCGTGTTGGAATAATGAATCGAATTCTTAAGTCTTTTGTCCACGAAGAACTTTTAGTCAACCATCGTTTATGTTCTCATAATTACAGTATTTTAGTCAACCATAAATTTTGTTCACAACAAAAATGTATAGATTTATTTCCAATCTAATTGAGATTTTAGATTTGGAAGGATATATGTGAAAATTCCTTTCCTTGTTATGAAACGTTTGTTTCATATCCAAACATTCTAGCATTATTCTCCAATATATTCCTGCTTTATATTATGGTCGTATTTTAAAATCTTCAATTTATTTGGATTACAAAACATTTTTACAAGAAAATGACACAAAAATCCGAAATTTGTGTGTAATGCGTCATTTAAGTGTTTGGTAGTGGAAACGTGTCTTTATCTCCCTGAAACCCGTCAAAAAGGTTTCTGAAAGGGCACGACGTTTACTCAAATATTACCAAACGTTTTCTCATCTCTTCATTTTTTCTTCTTAGTTAAGTTTATTTTGGTGAGAGAAGTCAAATCGACGCCTCTTCGTTCATCTCACCGCCATGGAAATACAGAGAGCAAAGAAGAAGATCATCGATGATCAGATAACATGCAGACCAAACTCAGTTCAGATTCCGACTGATCTCATCCCAGAGATACTCAAAGGGTTACCTGTCAAAACCCTAGCTAGGTTCATGTCCGTATCCAAAGAGTACGGTTCCATCATTCGCAACCGAGACTTCATGAAATCGTACCTGCGCAAGTCTTCGTCTCGTCCTCAAAGTCTCATCTTCACAATCGAAGGCAGGAAATCTGGAAAACATTTCTTCTTCTCATTGCTCCAGTCCCAAGATCAAGGTGAATCATCATCCCCTGTTGTAACTTATCTTATGAACTGTCGTGCTCGAGAGTACACAACACTTGCTCCCTCTGTACACGGTTTGGTTTGCCATGGACCTCCTTCTGGATTAGTTGTGTCTAACCCTAGCACTAGACGGTCTATTACTCTGCCAAAGATTGATACTCGGAGTATAACTATGTACCACCACTTGGGTTATGATCCTATCAGTGGTGATTACAAAGTGTTGTGTATGGTGAAAGGCAAGCATGTTAGTTGGGGACGCTACTTGGCTCATGAGCTTCGGGTCTTGACTTTGGGAAAGGGGAACTCTTGGAGGATGGTTGAAGACTTTCCTCCTCACTGTCTTTTTACTCATGAGACTCCTGACATATGTATCAATGGTGTTTTGTATTATGTTGCTTTGCTTGACACAGCCGTGAGCCATGCGGTCATGAGTTTTGATGTTAGAACTGAAAAGTTTCATCTCATAGAAGGACCAGACCCTTATGTGCGTCCCATGATGACCCGCTACGAGGGAAAGGCTGCACTCTTGTTCGCTGGGATAGCTGATTGTAGAGTTAACTTGTGGGTTCTGGAGGATGCTGCAAAACATGAATGGTCCAAGATTTCTTACGTCTCGTCTACAGTTGCTTGCGATACTCACTTCTTCCACCATATGTTTTGTGCTAATGATGCAGGGGAGATTGTTATGGCACCCGCGTCCGTGTGTTCATTAAAACCATTTGAAGTTCTTTACTATCATCCAAAGAAGAAGACTATGAGAAATGTCCTCGTGGAAGGAATCAGTGAACTAAAGGTTCCATTTTGGGATAAGGATCCATGTCATAACATAATCTCAGTCTTCGCTGGTCAGCTTGATAATCTGATGTTCCTCTAAGAAAGCTCTCATGACCACCACTGAAATGTTCGGTTCTTCGGCTTTAGTTGTGTTTCATCTACTTACTTTGGAGGCTTTGATGATCTTTTGTTCACTTCTTGTTTTAGTGACAGTTTGTTTATGTTCATAGCCTCGGCATGTATTTAATACTGTATGTTATCTTTATGTTTCGAACTTGGGCATTAATACGCTCTTCATCTAACTAAAAAATCTATCTTTGTTGAAATAACTTAGATTTTTTTTCTCTTTTTTTTTTCCTAACCAACCGGTGAAAAAAGGAGCATCCAGAGAATTAGTTTTCAATACCTTTACAAAATTACCACAATCAAACTTGAGCGTGGGACTGTGTGTGGGAGAGAACCTTAATTTGGTATCAAACAAGAAAAATAAAGTGACAAATACGCAAATAGAACTCATATTGTGTATTAATCATCAACTTAAAGAAATACTTTCAATGAGAACAGAAGTGGAGGAGAGTATAATTCTTAGGGGGTTTTGGCGACTCATTAAGACTTCTTGTTCTCTATATTTATTATCTCTTCTGGACTCAGTTTGAGAGTTTTATGTTTCTGTAAGAATCAATGCACCACAAGCTGATGGGCCTGGTTGACATCATCTTCAATGCCAGTTTGGTTCCCTGATCATCATGCTTATCTTTGATGAAATGTAACATTATTCCGTGTTTTGTTATTTCGTTATAGTTACTTGGGAGGTCTTTTATTATCGACAGTTTGCTTATCTTGATCATAAGACGTTTTTTCTTTTGTTTACTTCAGAATTTTGTTGTTTAACAGTGAATGTAAAACTAGTCTTATTAAGTATCGAACTAGAGGTAAGGATTAGTAGTTGTTAAGTCCCAAGTAATTGAGCTGTAGCAAGTGGTAGTATATGTGTCGGTTAAGAATTCATCCAAGTGATCCAAACTAACAATGTAGTCTTCTTCTCTAATAATCTTATGTGTTGTGTGAAAAGAGTAGACACAACACAATATACTAGAGTGATGTGAGACAGAGCAAACAAGAGATAAAAGATAGAGTTCAAACCATGATGAATAAGTGAGAATTCCAACTAAAAATGGCATCCCAATCTTTTTAGTCTGACCGTTTTAATGTATTATAAACTAGAATTAGTTATTGAACTAACTTGGTTTTATTGATTCCCCAACTAGGGTATTTATACAGAGAACATAAGACATATGATAAACCTTATCTCCTAAGACAATGATTTCTAAACCTTATCACAATAGGAATATAAATCATAATAACGATATGTCCTTATCACTAATACTAGAATATCCTTTGCCTTGGGTTTCACTAATTCACTTCAATAATGGACTTTCACGGTCCATAATAGTTGGTCCGCAAGATACACATATTGCTCCCCAAGATATCTCAAGAGGTTCATGTTATGACACTGAGAACTGGGAATAGGTGGGGAAGATTAAAGATTAATTGTCCTCCTCACTCTCCTGAATCTCCTGTTAGATGCATCAATGGTGTGTTATCCTAACTACAAAGCTGTTTTCGACACAACTCATGCATGCAGTGATGAGTTTTGATGTTAGGTCTGAAAAGTTTCATCTTATAAAACTGCCAGAAACAAAAGCTGACAAGCTACGAGGGAAAGCTTGCTATCATGTATGCTTCCGGCTCTGGATATACAACTTGTCCACGAAGAACTTTTAGTCAACCATCGTTTATGTTCACATGCAAAAAATTTATTTCCAATCTAATTGAGAATTTAGATTTGGAAGGATATATGGGAAAATTCATTTCCTTGTTATCGAAAACGTTTGCCGTTTTAGTCCTCATGACCCATCACACTTTTCTTGATTAAAAATAAAAAACGGCAAACATGTTCTACAAATCAAATGGGGTTTTCGTAAAAAGGCAGACACGTTTCTTTGTTCTCCTCTCCACCGGAGCAAACAATGAGCGACTCAACCAACGAGGCAGTGATGGAATCAGCATCGTCGGCCTCCTCTCCGATTAAGAGACGGAAAATTTCAGATGGCACCAAGCTTCCGATGGATATGATCATGGAGATACTCAAACGAGTACCGGTAGAAACCTTAGGGTACTGGTGCGTATCGAAGCCCTTGGCATCAATCATACGCAACCGTCACTTCAAGAAACTGTTCCTCGCCCACTCTTCTTCACGACCAGGTCGTTTTTTCGTCTCCTTCGGATGTAAAGATGGTTGTCATTTACTCTCTTCGCCACTTCCAAACCAAACCCACCCAGGTGAAGAAGGAGACACCTTATCTGTAGCTGCTACTTACCATATGAAACTTCCTTCACGTCTTCGCAAACCCAAAGCTTCCTGGATTCACGGTTTGATTTGCTATGAATCTTTTCAGCATCTTCGTTCTACACTTAAGGTATACAATTCCACCACCCGTAGATCCACCACATTGCCTGATTTTGATGAACCAAGATCCATCATCACACACATGTTGGGCTATGATCCTGTCGATGGTGTTTACAAAGTTTTGCGTATGAGCTCAAGGAATGATGAAATGGCGCCACAAGTACCTAAGCGTATTTTTGAGGTTTTGACATTGGGAGATGATCATTCCACCTGGAAGATGATTCAAGAGTGTCCTTGTTATATGCCTTTCGATAGCCATATCTGCATTGATGGTGTTTTGTATTACTATGCTTGTGTTGTTGACCAAGGTCTGGAGAAGGAAGCTGCTCTTGTGAGTTTTGATCTTAGGTCTGAAAAATTTGGTCTTATCAGAGAATCTCTTGATTGTCCGCTTGAGAAGAAAAAAAACCTTGGTGGTAAGGTATGAGGGAAAGCTAGCTATCATCTCTAATGCAAATTCTGATGCTGCTAATGGTGATATAGTTCTGTGGGTTCTTGAGGATGCAGTGACACATGAGTGGGTTAAGAAGGTTTTTGTTTTCCCTAGTTTGTGGAAAAGTGTAATTAGCTTTTATAGTTTCCAAATTAGCGTCACTGATGCGGGTGAGTTTCTTTTGGCACCGCGTGCTTTGCGCACTCGGCCATACTATGTTCTGTGTTATGATCCAAAAAGAGAGAGCATGAGAAAAGTCTTTATAGAAGGAGTCCCAGAGCATATATATACATCATCATGTTTACGACGCAGGGAACGTGGTTTTATTTCTCTATATCATCTCTTCTCTACTCAGCTTGAGAGTCTTATGTTTCTGTAAGAATCTGCACACCACAAGCTATCTTTGTTCCTGATCCTGCTCATCTTTGTTCTAATGTGACTTTATTCAGTGTTTTGTTATTGACAGTTTGTTTATCTTGTTCAAAAGACGTGTTATCTTCTTTTTTTTTTTAATTTCGGAATTTGTACTTTATAAAAATTCTCCCATTTGTCTGAATTTGTATATTTTATCTTTTTTTTTTTTTTTTTTTCTGATTTTGTTGTTTAACAGTGATTGCAAAGCTAGTCTAATTAAGTATCGATCTAGAACGTAAGGATCGGACTAGTAGTTGTTAAGTCTAGAGTCCTAAGCAAATATTGAGTTGTAGGAAGTACGTAGTATAAGGAGATGTGTGGGTTAAAAATTCATCCAAAGTGATCCAACATAAATAATAATGAAGTCTTCAAGTTTATTCTCTCTAATGTTCTAAACGTTTTGTGTAAAAAAGAGTAGGCACAAACAACACAAATTAAATGTGAGACGGATGAGCAAACAAGAGATAAAGTGAGAGTTCAAAACCATGAAGAATAAGTGACAATTCCAACTAACAAAAGCACCATATTTACTCGTAGTTTAACGTATTTCAAACTAAAAATAGGCCCCCGCTAATAAAAATTATGTATTTGTTTTTTGAAAAATTGTGTTATATATGCTTGTTAATTGTTTTCGTTTTTATATAGAAAACTAGAAAGTTGCCCACGCGATGCGTGGGTTATATATACAATATTAATTTAAAATAGAAATTGAAAACTACATTTGTATAGTTTAATATGTAACTGTTAATATAAAACATATTTGTGTACATTTTAAACAGTAAAAATAAATAAAATATATATTTGAAAAATATGAAACCGAATGAGATCAATACAAAGTAATACAGATTAGCACATATATAATATAGTAGGCAACTGTAAATTGATGTTAACTTTTTTGTGTGTACATTGTTAATATTAAAAGTAAATAAAACTCACATAATTTATGAGTATTGGTTTATCTCCCTAGTTTTTATCATTAGCTAGAAGTAAATTGAATTTTTAAAAAGATCAAGTAAAACTTTCCAAAATATCAATTTAAAATATTTCACCTGAGATATATGTTTTTTTTAAGACCTTATTTAGAAAAGCTTTTTCAATTTAGAAAATATTTCACCTGAGATATAAGAGCTTTTAAACTATAATTATATAAACAATAAAACAAAAGCCAAATGAACAGAGGAAGATTATTTGAGAAAAAAAAATTTGATATTTTTCATTCTAATTGATTGGAAAAGAAGCACACATATACGTAGATGAGATCCTTTTATATATATTAAGATAATTTTATGTAGAATTTGTTGAAGGATAAAACTAATATTGAAACCATTTAAGAACAAACACAAAAATTTACATTACTATAAAAGCTAAAGAAATGAATTTATATCAAAAAGGCATCACATGTTTACATCAACATTAACAAAAAAGATGAACGAATATATCTATCTATTATATGTACATGACAACAATCATGAATTGCTCTTAAGAAATCGAATTTATGTTCGGTCTCTCTAGGAAAATCTAACTTGGGTTAGATATTTATATTGTTATGAAAAGAAAGACTATTATTTAGAACAAATGATTAAATTACTAAGAGTGGAGAGTGGATATGATACTATTGTATAACTCATACTTTATAAAATTATATAATTTAATAGGATTTTAGTGAAGCTCACTAATTCACTGTCTACTCAATTGATGAATGAATTAAACTAAATTTAAATTTTATGAACTGTATGATTTTTCTTAAAAAGAAATTTAAAGACCAATTTTTTTAAAACCAAGTACTTTTTGTTTCTTTTTAAACACTTAGACCTCAAATTTTAAATAAATTAAATATTATAATAATCTATTCGATCACAAACTAAATATAATTATACATATATCGAAATGAATTACAATTATTTGAGATTTTTAAAAAATAGAAGAAGTTATTTGTTAAAGTTTTAAATTGAAACTTTTATTTATATAGCAATCAAAACTTTTATTTTACATATGTGTTAGATCATACTTTCTTCATTCATACTCATAAGTATGAAAAGTATGAATAATAAGGCATTAGAAATAAAAATTGAAAATTTATATATAATAAGGCATTAGAAATAAAAATTGAAACCATGTTTGATATATATCATAATTTCTAAAATAAATTAAGATCAAATTCTTAAAATGATACTTTCATTGATTTTCAATCCATATAACAACACAAAAATAGAACATATTTAAGATACATGAATGTAGTGATAGAGAATGAGAGAGAGAGAGAGGTTAATTATAAGATGGTAATCTAAAATAGACAATAGAGATGAATCTTAAAAAATCAATAAAACAATGTAAATATATATCATAGAGTGTCTAAAAATTAAAATTTAGACTAAACTTTTACAATGGTATTTAAATTTATTTTTCAACTCATACAACAACAAACAACCAACAACAAAAAAACACAAAACAAAACAAACAAAATTATAGAATATTTGAGGTAAAGTGGAAGAGGAGGAGGGAATGAGAGAATGAGTATTTATAAGATGAGAAGTGATGAGAGTTATAATTTAGAAGAAAATGTTTTGGGAGTTAATTCTAATTTATTGTGTGTTGACTAAAATTGAGTAGAAAAATATAGTTAATGCAAATTTATATTATTTCAGTTTTTATATTAAAGTGTGAGTTAAATGTATATAAATAATTGTATTTTAATTGAATATATATTTTTTGGTTTTAAATTAAAGTGTGAGATAAATATATATGATCAAATTTTTTTTATTTGTGCCTTAATTAAAATAATTTTTTCTTCAGTTTTATATTAAAGTGTGAGTTTAATATATATATATATATATATATATAACTAAATGTGTTTTATTTTTGGTTTAGTTGAAAACATAATTAAAAAAAAGAATTATATAAAAATAGTCCAATCAGAAGATAGTGAAACCTTACTTTTATATATATGATTTATTTTATTATAAAATACTATGTTCTTTTTTCACTTTAATTATGTGATAGTAAATCAACATTTGTGGGAGTTAGTTCTTTTTGATTTTGTGTTGAATAAAATTGAGTAGAGAAATATAGTAAATCAACAATTGTGGGAGTTAATTCTTATTAATTATTTGTTGAATAAAATTGAGTAGAGAAATTTAGTTCTTATATTAAAGTGTGAGTTAAATATTGTGTTTTAGTTAAAAATAAAAATGAAAATAATTAATTAAAAATAAAAGATGACACATGTCATAAATAGAGAACGCCAAATGTCGTAACGTGGTGAAAAGTTAGAAAAAACCTTGTTATATTATATAAGATATCATCAAAATAAAACGAACTAATAACTGAACTCTTTCTTAAAGTCAATCGATTCGATTTGTTTAAAAAAAAAAAAGAACTAATAACTTAACTAGAATCATTTGTTAAAGTCATCAATTAAAAATCCAAAATCAATTACAAATTTCATAGTCAATATACACAGTTTTTAATTAATAAACTCTTACAAAACCATCACCAAAAGATCCGTCACATTGACTGAAGCTAACTAGCATGTCCAAGAATATTTCTCCTAATGGTAGTATGGTTTTATGGGTTCTAGTGGATGCAGTGAAACATGAATGGGTCAAAAAAGATATTTGTTTTGCCTATGTCATAAAGAAGTTTGACTCAGTTATCACTTAACACTCATCATTTGGTTAACGCCACTGATGAGGGTGAGTTTATTAGGGCATCTCACGACTAAAAATCTAACTAAGATATGTGACTACCTAAGATGGTTTCTCTTGGGATATTTAGTGAAATTTACTAAACGTATGTACCTCCTCACTCTTTTGTAGTCTTATAGATGCATCAATAATGAGTTATATATACTAGAAAGCTTTTTCTCAACACATATCAAACAGTGACGCGTTTTGATGTTAGGTCTGAAAAAAATCATCTTATAAAACTGCCAGAAACAAAAGCTGACAAGCTACGAGGGAAAGCTTGCTATCATGTATGCTTCCGGCTCTGGATATACAGCTAGACCTTGTAGAAAGCTTTCGTTTTGCCGTTTTGGAATAATGAATCGAATTCTTAAGTCTTTTGTCCACGAAGAACTTTTAGTCAACATAGGTAGTTGATCGTTTTCCAAAAGACCAATCATGTGACTAAAATAGCATCTCATGGGTAAATCCTGCCAAAAAAGAGAAATTAGGGTTTGAAAGAGCTACAAACTATACGAAAAGGAAACAAGACATTATAGTAACTTTATTACCGTGGCAGAGACAGTGGAATCAAGACCGTTGTAAGGAGAAACTGTGTGCAGACCAAACGGAACGTGTTCTATCATCATGTTATGAGCCTGATGCTCATCTAGATCAGGTTTCCTCATATGAACCATTGAATTGGAATTCATGTCCGCGAGTATAAGGCTATAGGACAACCCAGTTTGTATACCCACGTCACGCTGTGCTACATGCACGGCAAAGTTCTCTGGACTCATATTGCCCTGCAACCAAAACAGAGAAATTAAGATATACAATATGTTTTGAAAAAAAATTATGCAAACAACAACAACAAAGAAATGATACAAACATTTTCCTTTACTTGTTCTTCTTCCCAACGTAACCACTCCACGCACTTGAGAACTTGGTTTATCCAAATTTGGATATAGCTTTTGCTGTTTTCTGTCACCATCATACTCTCTAGTCTCTCCCCCCATAGAGTAAACCCATGAGCCGTGTCTTGGTGTGTGTGGTGCATTTTACTTTTACAGATGTAAAACAAAACAAAATGGCTTCTATTTGCACATATGAGCTGTTGTAAGTAAAAGAGAAGATGCAGCGTTTCTTTATTTCCAACATTATTCTACATTTGCTCTAGCTTTCTTACGGATTGACTAAGGAGGATTCATGTGTATGTGGAACACTTAAGAAATATATTTACTATTCTGAAAATATACAGAGGTGGTTTTGAGTGGCACACAAGATTAAGACTCGAATCCAACTAGTATTTGGTCTTAGCTTTTGTAATCCGAGCATATATAGTGGTTAGGTGACCTTGTTTTATCAAATGAAATTTTGTAAGCTAAGTACTCGTGAAGGCAAAATCACCGGTTAACTAAGTCACATTGTTTTGCTTTCATCACTAAACCAAAATTTCATATATGCTCATATGGTAGAAGCAAATTAGGCTTTCCTTAAATCTGATTGTGATTACTTGCAGAACAGCAGAAGAACTAAACAAACAAAATGAACTTGAGACAAGTGCAACTGCATGCATAAAACCTCCAGAATATGCATTTCAACAAGTTTCCTAAAAGTGTTTGTATATAAAGACAGCTAAAAAAGGGTGGCTTATCTCTACAAAGCTTAAGAAATATATACTCAACGCTGATTCTGAAAGAGTATTCACATCCAAAATGTGAATTTTATTATCCAAATCCACACATGACTTTCCAATATTTTATAAAATTTTCCACTTTGCTCTATTTTTTTACGGATTTTGTAAGGAGGATTCATGTGTTTGTGGAACACTTTAGAAATATATTTACTATAAATATATAAATTTTTGTCATCTCCTAAAAAAAATTCAAAGTTGGTTTTTAGTGGTACACAAGTGTAAGACTCAAATCCATCCAACTAGTATTTGGTCTTAGCTTTTGTAATCCGGACCTATATAGTGATTAGGTGACCTTAATTTCTATATGTTCTTGATTTTTTTAATATCTACATGTTCTTACTTTTTCCTGATTTCAAGTTCTTGTTTTGTTGTTCTTAAGTACTAATAACTAGAGTCTAGATTCACTATAGAAAAATATGATATTGATGTCAAATGTTCTGACGAATAACTTTAACGGTTCTTGACTAATCATATTGCTTGAAATTGCTTCATATATCAGGATTTCCAAAAATACTATACATTATCACCTTTCCATAAATTAAGTTGAAAGTAAAGAGTAAGAATTATAACAATAGTTCAAGAATTGTATATAGATGGAAAACATAAGATAAACTTTTAAGTTACCAATAGGAAAGTTTTAGAAGATCATAAACTATTTTTATTTATAATAAGCATTATAATGCTCTTAGTTTGACCAAGGAAATAGGTTTCCCTGAATCAGAGAGATGTATTTACAGCATCAACAAGATTACTTATTAATTATTATATAGATATACTTTTTTATATTTGGATGCTGCATGCTCTGTAACTCTTTCTACTGGATGTTGAGATCGAAGTCGTACTCCTTCCAAGTGCATAATCTCTCAAGGAACATCACTTTCCCAGTGCGTTTAACCGCTAATGCTGTCGTACTAGTTGTTCCAAAGCGTTGCAGTCCAAGCTGAATCGAAATGGAATTAAAGAAAGAGATTAACTAACTAATTAATGATGGTAGGAGAATATTGGATCATAGAAACGTTATATATATCAAATCTCTTACTTGAGGGTTCGGATGCTTAGCCATATTTTCAAGAAACAGCCCGGCTTCAGTTCCTCCACTAGCAATCTCATCAAGCGGTGGTAGTCCCAAAACATCAATCAGTACTATGGGATTAAAAAGGTCTCTCATGTGTAAATCCTGCAAAGTAAAAAAGAGAAATGAGAGTTTTTGAAAGAGCTACAAAATATATACGAAAAAGAAACAAGACACTAGTAACTTGATTACCCTGTCAGAGATTGTGGAGTCAAGACCACCGTCAGGAGAAAGTGTGTGCAGACCAAACGAAACGGGTTGTATCATGACATACGGCTCATGAAGATCAGGTTTCCTCATATGAACCATTGAATTGGAAGCCATGTCCGCGACTATAAGGCTATAGGACCACCCATTTTGTGAATCCACGTCACGCTGTGTCACATGTTCGGCAAATTCCTGTGGACTCATATTGCCCTGTAACCAAAACAGAGAGTTATGTGTTTGAATAAAAATATGAAAACAACAAAAAGAAATGAAACAAACCTCCAAGAATTCAATGGGATACAACTCGCAGCCGCTGTCTGGAACAACTTGGTCTAGCAGCAACGTTCTACTCATGAGAAAAGCAACACGGCCTCCTCGAGATATAGCCAACCACGTTCCGTTGTTATCTGCGCTCCGACCACTCAAAATCTGGCCATTCCACGACGCCCCATTTATGACCCTGTTGTTAACCCCATCAGACCAAATAGATTAGAAGAGTCATCAAGAAGAGCCAAGAAAGTTACACGTCGAATCAAAATATTAAACTTGCCTGTTTCCCCAGTTGTCTCTGTTCATCAGCAACACCAGTTGGTTTTTGCCTTCCTCTGCCCAGTTAAATCCTACGATCCCCATTTTCTTGAAAAGAAGATATAAGTTTGCTCTGTGTTATGTCTTTTGTTGTGATGTTTTGAGTTGTGAACCCCATCTCTGTTTTTATAGCAGAGGGATGATGATCTCTGCTCTGCTTTTTTCCTTTACTTGTTCTTCTTCACTACGTAACCACTCCACGCGCTTAAGAGCTTCTTTATCCAAATTTTGCTGTTTTCTGTCACTACCATACTCTCTCCCTCATTGACTAACCATGAGTCGTGTCTTTGTCTCTCTGTGGTGCATTTTACTTTTGCAGATGTAAAACAAAACAAAGTGGCTTCTAGTTGCACATATGAGCTATTGTAAGTAAAAGGGAAGATGCAGCGTTTCAACATTTTCAACGTTATTCTACATTTGCTCTATAGCTTTTTGTTCCTGAAGGTTGAGTGATGGTTGAGTCATGTGTATGGTAAGAATAATTACTTTTACTATACTAAGAATAGAATATACAACAAGTGGTTTCTAGTAGATCAGAGCACACAAGTTTAGGAACTCAAAATCCAAAATGTTCTTTGGTCTTAGCTAGCTTTGGTGTTGGTATAGTTTCGATTCTAGCGCTGATTGGTCTTAAGATCTGTAAATATATGTAAGACTCAAATCCAACTACAACTAGTATTTGTTAATCAGAGCCTATAGTGGTTAAGTGACCTTGGTTTATCAAATAGACACTTAAGTAAATATTCATGTAAAATTATTTATGATTAACGTACCCAAAAAAAAAAGAGAAGAAAAGAGATTTCTTGTGAAACACGTTGAAGATGGCATTCATACGCAATATTTGATCACTTTCATACCAACATCTAAAAAGGGTACGTACCATAGGGTTTTTAGTGGATCCATACTAAGATTCCAATTTGTTTATAACTTTGGTGATCTTTGTGAAACCAAGTATGAAAAAATATTATGAAAGTAATCATTTTGGAAAATAGTAATCTCTCCACGTACGACTTTGCTTTTTTTTTTTTTTGGTTATAGTTGTGATGATAAATGGTAACGTGTATGCTTTTTTCTTAGTTTCTATATTTTCTTGATTTTTGTTTTGTATCTACATGTTCTTGCTATTTCTTGATTTCAAGTTATTTTTATTTGGTATTTAGTTACGTTCTTACTTTTTTCGGAAGTACTACTAGTTAGTGTCAAAGGTTCTGACTAATTGCTTGAAATTGCATGATCCGGGTTTCCATAAATACTCTATATCAGCTTTCCAATAATTTAGTTGAAAGTAAAGAGAAAGAATAACTATATGGGTCAAGAATTGTATAAATGGAAAATATGAGGTAAAACTTTTAGATTACCATAGTAAAGTTTTAGAAAACAAACTATTTATTTATTTATTTATATCAAACACCAACAAGATTATTCTTTTAATTATAGATAATTATTAATGATATATTTGGATGCTGCGCAATATTGTTTCTTTGTAACTCTTTTACTGGATGTTTTGAGATTGAAGTCGTGCTCGTTACAGTCCCATTCACCATTAATGTCCCTGAACCTCTCAAAGAACATCACTTCCCTAGTGCGTTTCACCACCAATGCTGTCGTACTTGTAGTTCCGTAGCGTTGCCTTCCAAGCAGCTGAATCGATATCAAAAGGAAAATAAATTAAAGATGGTTCGGACGACTGATGAAGTATCATACATAACAAACGGTTAAGTTTCAATTTTTTTTTTCTTACTAGATGATCCTCAATAGTGTCGAGACATAAAGCATTGGTTCCTTCAGAATCATCATACATAAACACGCAAGCGATCTGGTCCAACGGTGGAAGTTGGTCATGGTCTCCAAATAAAACAACCAACTCATTGAATAGGTCTCTTAGCCGTGTAACCTGCATGTATATAGACGGATATAAATATATATATATATATATCTTAGCCTACTTTGTTACAAGTATGTAATTACGTTACCTACCCTGAGAAATTCCGTGGAATCGAGACCCCGGCGGGACAAAGTGTGAACACCAAAGGGAACGGTTTCTATTATGAGTTTAGTCTCATGTGCTAACTGCTAAGGGTTTCCTGATATGAACCATTGATTGCATATTCAGGTCTGCAACAATAAGGCTATAGGTGTGCCATTGCTTCAAATCTTCATCTTGTGCCAGGTCTTCCGCAAACTGCATTGGACTAGAGTTTTCCTATAAATCAAACAAAAGCATGTCCTGTGATGAATATCGAAGTATTCTTAAATAAAAAGAAGTGATAAAGAGGGAAAAGCCAAAAAAAAATAATACATTTAGGAAACGGACAGGGTACATCTCCGAGCTGCCTTGATGTCCAATTTGGTCGAACGTTATAGCCGAACCGACGAGAAAAGAGACTCGGCCGCTCTTAGAAATACCTAACCACGTACCAGAGTTCTCTTCACAGCGGCCACACACGATTTTCTGAATACATATTGCCCTGCAACCAAAACAGGGAAATTAAGATATCCAATATGTTTTGAATACAACACCAAAGAAACGAAAACAAACCTCAAAGAATTCAATGGGATACAACTCGGGGCCGCGCTGTCTGGATCAACTTGGTCTAGCAACAACGTTCTACTCATGAGAAAAGCGACACGGCCTCCTCGAGAAATAGCCAGCCATCCCAAGAAGCCCCATTTATGGCCCTGTTAATCCCATCAGACCAAATGTTTTCAAAAAAGTCATCAACATCATTAACGTACGTGCCAAGAAAGATAAACCTGGAATCAAAATATTAAACTTGCCTGTTTCCCCAGTTGTCTCTGTTCATAATCAGCACCAGTTGGTTGTTTCCAGCTTCCTCTAACCAGTTGAATGCTACGAAGATATAAGTTGATATTTTTCTTTAAAAGAAGATATAAGTTGGTTTGCTATTTGAATCGTTTGCTCTGTGTTGTTTCTTTTGTTGTGATGTTTTGAGTTGTGAACTCCATCTCTGTTTTTATAGCAGAGAGATGATGATCTATCCTCTGCTTTTTTCCTTTGCTTGTTCTTCTTCCCAACGTAACCACTTAACTCTACACATATTACTTTTACACATATTGAGATATGTAAAACAAAACAAAGTGGTTCCTCGTAGCACATATGAGCTATTTTACACATATTGAGATATGTAAAACAAAACAAAGTGGTTTCTAGTATCACATATGAGCTATTGTAAGTAAAAGGGAAGATGCATCGTTTCTTCATTTTCAACATTATTCTACATTCGCTCTATAGCTTTTTGCTGTTGGAGATTGAGTATAGAACACAAGTTTAGGAACGAACTCAAATCCAAACTATTCTTTGGTCTTAGCTTAGCTTTGGTGTTGGTAGTTTCGATTCTAGTGCTGATTGTGTAAAGATGAGTCATATGTGTGTATGTGCAACAATATTAGAAAATACTTTTTTTACTAATTTGAGAGAAATTGAAACAAAGACGTTATAGAAAACACGACGATGATGTTAACGTGACAGCTAGGTTGTGTGATTTCTTTATTTTATATGTTGAAATAGTTTTTTTTTTCTTTTTTTGTTTAATTCGTTAATTAACAAGACCGAAATGTCATAAAAGGAGAAGGATTTGAACCGGGTCAAAATGTCGCTCATCCGGTTCGGTTTAGTTTGCTTTTAGATGATCCGATTTGATCTTGATTTGTTAAGTTCGTTATGGTTTCTAATATCAAAATGTTCGGTTGGGAGAAATTGCTGAGTATAACATTTTAAGCTCCTGCATTTAAACTCGAAGGACATATACATGGATCTTCTAATTAGTCTTGCTTTTGTTGCTTAGTTCTCTACTCTTAGATGTTCATTTCTTTTCATTGTTAAATTAGATTAAGGCTTTTCGATGTGCAGTGTTATTGCCTGAATTGATTACACAATTTTCCGAGTTAGGAATGTGGTACAGAGAGATTGACTTGAAGCAAATTGTCTTTTTAGTGTTTAAAAAGAGAATATAGTTTCACAAGATTTCAGTAGATACAAATTAGAAAATACGATGTTGATGTCAAAGGTTCTGACAAATAAGTTTAACGGTTCTTGACTAATTATTTTGCTTGAAATTGCTTAATCAGGATTTCCAAAAAATACTATACATTATCACCTTTCCGTAAATTAAGTTGAAAGTAAAGAGTAAGAATTATAACTATAGTTCAAGAATTGTATAGACTGGTTGTGATTAGTTACAAAGTGTTGTGTATGACTAAAGGAAAGGATCGTCTAGCTCAAGAGGTTCAGCTTATGACATTGAGAACTGGGAACAGGTGGGGAAGATTAAAGATTGTCCTCCTCACTCTCCTGAATCTACAAAGCTGTTTAATGGTGTGTAATACTACAAAGCTGTTTTCGACTCAACTGTAGTGATGAGTGTGAAATACTACAAAGCTGTAGTGATGAGTTTTGATGTTACGTTAGGTCTGTAAGGTACATAAAAGCTACAACTAGACCTTCTAGAAAGCTTTCGTTTTGCCGTGTTGGAATAATGAATCTAACTAAGATATGTGACTACCTAAGATGGTTTCCCTTGGGATATTTAGTGAAATTTACTAAACGTATGTATCTCCTCACTCTTTTGTAGTCTTGTAAATGCATCAACATGTTATATATACTACGTACAAAGCTTTTTCTCAACACAAATCAAATGGTGATGCGTTTTGATGTTAGGTCTGAAAAAATCATCTTATAAAACTGCCAGAAACTGCAACTGGATATACTACCACACCTAGTTACTTTTGTCATACAGATGCAGGTGAGTTTGTTTTTGACACCACAGAAATCTTAGTCAACCATCATTCTGTCCCAAGAAAAATTTAGATTTATTTCCTATCTAATTGAGATTTTAGATTAGGAAGGATATATTTAGAAAAGCAAGAGAAAATTCATTTCCTTGTTATCAGAAACGTTTGCCGTTTTAGTCCCCATGACCCATCACTCTTTTCTTGATTAAAAGGAAAAAACGGCAAACATGTTTTACAAATCAAAAGGGGTTTTCGTAAAAAGGCGGACACGTTTCATTATCTTTGTTTTTTTTGCTTTGGTTTCCTCTCCACCAGAGCAAACAATGAGCGACTCAACCAACGAGGCAGTGATGGAATCAGCATCGTCGTCCTCATCTAAGATTAAAAGACGGAAGATCTCAGATGGCGCTACGAGCACCAAGCTTCCGATGGATCTGATCATGCAGATACTCAAACGAGTACCGGCGGAAAACCTAATCAACTTGTGCAAATCGAAGCCCGTGGCTTCAATCATACGCAACAGTCATTTCAAGAAACTGTTCCTCACCCACTCTTCTTCCCGACCAGGTCGTCTCTTCATCTCCTTCAGACGTTCAGATGGTTATAATTTACTATCTTCGCCCCTTCCAACACAAAACCACCACTCAGGTGAAGAAGGTGAAGAAGGTGAAGAAGGAGAAGCCCTATCTGTAGCTGCTACTTACCTTACGCAACTTCCTTCAGGTGCTCGTCCAATCAAATCTTCCTGGATTCACGGTTTGATTTGCTATGTGTCTTCTTATCGCTATGGTCGTTCTACACTTAAGGTATACAATTCCACCACTCGTAGAACCACCACTTTGCCTGATTTCGCTCAACTAAGATCCGTCTTCAAACACATGTTGGGTTATGATCCTGTAGATGATGTTTACAAAGTTTTGTGTATGGACTTAAGGAATAATCCTGGAACGCCGCCAGGAGTACCTAATCATTTCTTTGAGATTTTGACACTGGGAGATGATCGGTGGAGGATGACTCAAGATTGTCCTCCTTATATGCCTATCAATAGCCATATATGCATTGAAGGTGTTTTGTATTGCTATGCTTGTGTTATTGGCCAAGGTATAGAAAAGGGAGCTGCTATTATGAGTTTTGATCTTAGGTCCGAACGATTTGGTCTTATCAGAGAGCCTCGTGATTGTCCCGTTGAGAAGAATGAACTCTCGATGGCAAAGTATGAGGGAAAGCCAGCTATCATCTGTAATAAATTTTCTGATGCTGCTAATGGTGATATGGTTATGTGGGTTCTTGAGGATGCAGTGACACATGAGTGGGTTAAGAAGGTTTTTGTTTTCCCTAGTTTATGGAAAAGTGTAATTAGTCGGTCAAGACTTAGTTGTTCTCGTTTCCTAATCAGCGTCACTGATGCGGGTGAGTTTATTCTGGCACTGCGTGCTTTGCGCACTCCACCATACTATGTTGTGTGTTATGATCCAAAAAGAGGGAGCATGAGAAAAGTCGTTATAGAAGGTGTCACAGAGCATATTTTACTACGCAGTAAACTTGATTATTGTCATTTGTTTCATCTCTTCTCTACTCAGGTTGAGAGTCTTCTGTTTCTGTAAGAATCAGTACATTACAAGCTGATGGCCTCGTCGACATCATCTTCAAAGCCAGTTAGGTTTCCCTGATCCTGCTCATCTTTGTTCAAATTGTGACATTATTCCGTGTTTTGTTATTTTGTTATTGTTACTTGGGAGGTCTCATGATCCTCGTCTTTGTTATTGACAGTGTTTGTTTATGATCTTGATCATAAGATGTTTTATCGTTTGTTTATTTCTGAGTTTGTACTATATAAAATTCTCCCATTTGTCTGAATTTGTACGTTTTATCTCTTGTTTATTTTTCGATTGTTGTTTAACAGTGGTTACAGTACTCTAATTAAGTATCGGTCTAGAGGTAAGGATCGGGCTAGTAGTTGTTAAGTCTAGAGTCCTAACTCATAAGTAATTGAGTTGCAGGAAGTACGTAGTATAAGGAGATGTGTGGGTTAAAAATTCATCTAAAGTGATCCAACATAAATAACAATGTACTCTTCAAGTTTATTCTCTCTAATGTTCTAAACGTTTTGTGTGAAAACGAGTAGGCACAAACAACACAAATTAACTATAATAATTTGTTAAACTCATCGATTACAAAACCAAAATAATTACAAATTTCATAGCCAATACAATTTTTAATAAATTGTTACAAAACCATATATCCACTCTTACCATATGACTCATCCTGCGTAGAAACATACATGATCGTTAACCTTAATTTAACATGGTATCAGAGACCGAACACACGTTGACCCATTAATTAATCCGGCCCAGATAGAGGCCCGATCACCCCATTAATTGATAGCCCAAAAGAAGACTCAATTCCATCGAGATAGCTAGAAGAGCATTATCTCGAGGGGGCGTGATGGATTCTGTCGAGATTAATGGCTAAAAGAGTCATTATCTCGAGGGGGCGTGTGGAGAGAAGATCCCACATCGGAAGATGTGAGGGGAAAGTAATATATAAAGGGTTAGGGCCAATCCACTCATTGCCAATTGGTTTTGAGTTGGAAGCCCATAACAAACCCTAATTTAACAGATTTGCTATGGGATCTCTTCTGCTTCCGCATTTGTGGAGTACGATCCCATCACCAAAAGATCCGTCGACACATTGCCTCAATTCGATTCCCAAAGTTTTATCATCATTCATCAAACACTTCTTCTGCTATGATCCCATTGATGGCGTTGACAAAGTCTTACGTGTGACAGGACCAAGGCTTGTTTTATAGGTTTTGACATCGGAGGTGATAACTCGTGGAAGACGGTTGAAGATACACTCACTCGTTTTTCTATCCGTGGCCATATTCGTATCAATGGTGTTTTATATTATCAAGCCTATTCTTATACTGAGGTTAATCTAAAGGAAACTGTAGTCATGAGTTTTGATGTGAGGTCTGAACATTTGCATCATATCAAAAGACCTGGTGATGACTATTCTCAGCTTGGCGCGCAGCTATTCAAATTTGTTGATAAGGTACAATGGAAGCTAGCTATCATGTCCAAGAATATTTCTGCTAATGTTAGTATGGTTTTGTGAGTTCTAGAGGATGCAGTTAAACACGAATGAGTCAAAGAAGATATTAAACTACATCATTTATTAAACTATATCACGCCACTTTCAAAATGAAATCAAAC